TAGAGAGTTCCAAGCTGAATTTTATATATGTTATGCAACGTTTAATTCTCTTCAAAATGGTAAATAAATATTTGAAAAAAAAATGGTGTGCTCACGTCAAAACCGGGCTCTCATTCTCCTAATTTGTTGTGATTTTTTATGCTTTTGCAATAAAAAAGGAACATTTTCAGCTATTTTCATTGTCGTAACACAATTGTAAAGCAAAATAGATACGATATTTCGAATTAGCGTCAAAAACTGGATGGAATAGTATACATTTTATTGAAATGTTTTTCCCGTCCAAACCTGACCTGTGGGGGACCAGGGAGAAAAAGGTTCGCAAAACACCGCTGTGGGTAACCACAGGTCACTTAGGGTCAGAAAAAAAATTCAATAAAATGTATGTCAATCAGTGCAGTTTTTGACGCTGATTCTGAATATCGTATCTATTTTGCTTTACAATTGTGTTACGACAATGAAAATAGCTGAAAATGTTCCTTTTTTTATTGCAAAAGCATAAAAAATCACAACAAATTAGGAGAATGAGAGCCTGGTTTTGACGTGAACGCACCATTTTTTTTTCAAATAGTTTTTTACCATTTTGAAGAGAATTAAACGTTGCATAACATATATAAAATTCAGCTTGGAACTCTCTAATTCTGAAACACAGTATTATACTCATTGAGTCAAAGTGAACGTTTTAGACTTGAAAAAAAGACGCGATTTGACTAATGTTAGCTTTATAAAACTTGAGTTACTAGATGCTATATTATATCCAAATAGCATATTTTGTTCAGTTTTTAATTCTCTATCTTCTGGTATATAACATGAAAAATTTCAGTGATTTGTTGAGACGCAACCTGGCACCATTTTAATAGAGCATTTTTTAGTGTTTTTTTCTATTGAAGTCATGATAGTACTAAAAGTTGGTCTTGACTAACTTTTCAAAAGAAGGATATTAGAAGCTAAAATTTTGGGGTTGATGGTTTCAGACATTGAAGTGTTGAATGAGCAAAAAAAATTAAAAATTTTTTTATTATTCGGTGCCTCGTATACTCGATGCTGTCACGAATTCTCTCTTAATCATCCTATCTTTACTTTTCCACTAACAGTGTATATATATATCGGTGTAGAGTTTGATGAAGAATTGTTTGATGCCAAATTCAATCTATGCGGAATGTAACTGTAGGTGTGGGCGTGATTTTTTGGTTTCACTATCTTCATAAATATGCACACACAGACCCACACCCGCATCCACACCCATACCCAAACTCGATTTGAAACCCAATTTTCGTTAATATCTTGGATATTTTTGTTCTTTCATCGAATCCTTGAGTATTATACAGCCATTTGGACAAACTTGAGATTTTTTGAAAATTGCGCTCAAAAACCTACCCGAAAAGTCCGAGAGGTATACTATGACATCGATGTAAATAGAACATCTAGTTGATACAAAGACTCATAATGCCTTAACCTATTTGAATTGAAGTTGTCGTTCGAGTACTTTGTTAAGGCAATTTGGGTCTTGTAATTAACTATCGAAGTCCTCTTGTATGCGCGCTTTCATTGTGATTCTGGATATTGGGGTGTGCGTATCGCTAGATCATGCTCACCCACACCTCTCGTTACTATAAATTCGATGTACTGCAATTGACAAATATGACTCGATTGGTCATGAAATTGGACATTTCTCTGTTTGAAAATAACAGGTATGCAAGCATTTTGGAGTAACCAACTCAAGTCAGAAAATTAGTTTTTATGCGTAGCACAGATTCCCCACTCGACCTAGTTCGGGTTCAACAAAACAAACTTGCAGTTTTGTAACTTCTAGACCTTGAAGAGGATTGCCAGTAGTGTTATTTATATGACCGATTCGAGCTATGAATAACAGAAATTGAAATGTGTGAAGTTTTGTTTTTCTTCACTAAAAGTCCTCGAACATGTGATTACCCATGCTGATAGACAGTAGATTAATGTAAGAGAAGAAAAGGTGCATTCATCGCATCTTATTGATAAAACAATAGAATGGTGGCAAAATGTTATCTAAAGTAAGCAATGCGTCTAGGATACTCGCATTATCGGCTATATTCATAACAACCACTAGGTATCTTTCGTTCGTGTGTATAGCTTTCGAACGTGGCACAGCATACATATTTTTACAGTTTCAATTCCAGTTGCTCTTCTTTTCTCTATACTTTACTATATTCAACGAGAAAATATGGGATTTGTGAGCCCTGATACAGCAACGAACGATAATTGACGATACTGGCTGTAAGAAAAATGAAAAATCTGTCTGAAATGAGTTCATGGAAGGTCTGGAGGCACGGACTTTTGGGTCTCAAACGAAAAGAAGGCGCTGCATTCGTCTCATTTTCATCAAATAAATGTTTCTAGTATTATTGTTGATACGAACCATGACATCTTTATTGTGCAGCATCACAGAAAGAACATATGGAAATATAATGAAAATCTAGAAGAGCCCATGTACAAAATGATTGATCATACATTTTCATTTTAGCCCGAATATCTGTGGAGAAAAGCCAAGACGATCACTGCGAAGACTATTTTTGAATAGGGATGCACCAAAAGCAAGCCCAACTCTCAGTTATCGAAAGAATATCCAATTCACCTGACAGTCCGATTGTAAATCGAATGAACCAGAAAAGTAAAATGACCTTGATCACAAATTTATTCATTCTCTGCTATCTCATCTCATTGCTAATTCGACAATAATGTTCTTTTACAGTCGAATGAAACGCGATCATGGGAATGATGGGCAATTCTACACCGATTCCCCTATCAGGTTGCTCGCTTTGTAGAAAGTATCATCTTGATCGCCAACACTCTATATCTAGTTTAAGACTTTACAATGCGTTTATTTGTCACTGACAACGAACTGTAAGGTGATCTCAATCCAATAGTTCTTGATCGACTTATTTTATATCGTATTCTACCATCTATCTAAACACCGCAATCCGAAAGCGGAGCCAATTTACGACTCCATTGGCGGAGTGCAGTGCTAAGCGCTGCTTGAGTTTGACGGAATGTGCGTTGTGGACCGAATTCTTCTGCGAAGGAAATGCTCTTCTGAACCCCACATATGTCAATGGGTTCAAGCATAACCATCGCTCCAGTCAGCCGCTTCATTATTGCAGGATCATCGTATACAGGTTTGCCACCGATCATCACCAATAGAACGTCTTCTGGCGTCGAATGGGTAATGGTCCAGAATGCATCATCCATCGATTGACCTCCGTGTGATGGATTGAGCACAAGCACATCAGCAAGAAATCCTTCTTGTAATGAGCCGAGACGTTTCTCCAGATGAAGTAACTTAGCGGCGTTACTCGTGGCCATTTGCACTAGTGTGTGATCATGGAACAGAGGATGTTCGAGGCCAGCATTCCATGTTGCAGCGAAGTTCAGATCGGTGAGTAGACCGTCGCTGCCTGTCGGACTCCAGTCGGGTGCCAGTGCAGTAATAACGCCGTTTGTTTTTGCAGCTTCTACATCCACTGTCTGACCATACAGCTGCAGATTGCTGCACGGCGACCAGACTAAGCCAACTTTGGCCTTTGCCATTTCATTGAAGTCACTTGGTTTGAGAGCAACACCATGAATGAGCGAAACGCCGGGTATTAGTAACCCGCGGCCTTTGAGCATAGCAAACTCACGTGTGGATGCCGCATCATTTGGTAATCCCTCACCGAGATGAATAAAGAGAGATCCGTTCGATGCAAGTGCATCTTTCGCCACTTTGGCCTCAGTTTCTGTCATTTCCAGAGGAGAGACATTGTATAGGATTTTGCCGAGTGTTAGATCGTCGTTGAGATTGCGCACCAGACCGCGATTACATGGTTCAAGCAGACTGCCGATGACACTTGTCGTACCTTGCGTAATTGCTTTGACTTCAGCGTAGTGCTGCATTGTGCATGAAAGACCGGCTTTGATAATCTCTTTGTACGGAGAACCAAGATAGGTCTTAACCCTTTAGCTCCCGGCGACGTATATATACGTCCTGGTATTTGTTCACTGTTGATGTATACCTCACCTATTGGCTAGTCCCTGCAGGATTATTTCCTCTTAGCTTATTATCATTTTTGGGATATTCCAGGATGGGAATATTCCTTCTCTTTATCACCTTCTATAGTACTATGACCTGTAAGGTCCTAAAGGTCATAAGTTATCTCATTTCCCAACTTGTACATATCTTTTCTCTCTTTCTTTCTGTCATATAGCTCCCTTTCCTTCCTTCTACCTTCGAATATGACGCCATATGTTTCCTTTGCTTATTCCACAAACATCCCGATCAAAACAGTCTCTAAGAAGAAAAAAAACACAGTTTGCACATCCCATAATGTTCGATGCGATACACAGTATATGTATGTTGACCGCAATGTGCCTCTATGTATTGTTGATTGCTTTAAAGACTATTATACAAAAATGAACTACTAATGCTTCTTTGACACAGAAATGCGATTTCTTTCAAAAAATAGCTGAAAACCATATTTACACATTTCTTATAAAAATTTGGGTTTTCGCAAAAAAAAAGCCGGGAGCCAAAGGGTTAAAATACGGTCGTTCCAACCACTCGTATCGATTATGGAACTCTTCGATGGGATTCCAACGCGGAAAAATATTCCAGAGGAGATGGTTGTGCAAATCAATGAGACCGGGCGAGATGACGCCATTCGTATGTAGGATAATCGCGTTATTTGGGATGACGATTCGAGTTCCTACTGCAGCGATGTGTTCATTAACAATCAGCAACGTCCCATTGACAATGCTTTTATCGGGTGTGATAATGGTACCGATGAGTGCCACTGGCTTCTCCTGTGTGAAGACACCACCAATGAAGAGCAACAACAGAAAGTATCTTCGTCTATAGAGCATAATTCTATCGAATAGTGATAGGCAATGAAGAATATTGTTCCCTAAAATTAGCAAGAAGAGATAAAGAGCGAGCAGCGTTGACTGATCAACTCATAATCCTAGTCAAATAATAGACACCTGCACGTCAACCACAAGACATTGCTCGTCAAGACACACGTACTTTTTATTATGATGTTCCCTTGCACAAATATTTGTGCGCTTCCCTGTTTTGAGTCAAACATTTGATTTTTCATATTACTTTTAGTGAAGCTTTCTTTTAACATTCAGTTTATTGTTCCTTAAAGGTTGACAATTAACAACAATATTGATTAATACACACATGCAAAAAGATTGAGGAGAAAAAATAGCATATTCAAGGGACTAACACATCCTTTTCACTTCAGAATCAATAACTCTCAATCCACATAACCATACCTCTCACTTTATATCAACAGAAAATTTATAAAATAGACTCGTAGAAAAAAGGAATAAAATGATGAAGTCATTTGTTTACACAATTATTAGCATTTTTTTTCTACTCAACATCTAATTCTAAAACATTTTTTTGTTTAAGTACACAAAAGGTTAGGGTGGTTTTACAGAAAAATATTTCAAAAGAAAAAGTTCTAGAATTGAACTTGATTTTTTAAAATATCTGTACTGCACTTTGTGTACATCAATGAAAGAAGTCACATCGAGATACGTATGCTTTATACGTTCCGCAAGTCTGTTAGGAAAACGACTATTTTTCCCAAAACTCATACTTTTATAAAATGTTTTGAAGGGCGACCACGCAATGAAATAGGCGGTTAACGTTTGCCTGTAAGTGTCAGCGTCAGAAATTGTATCTAGATATTTTTAAAATCTTAACCAATATTTGTATAGATAGTCGTGCAAAGAAAACTCACGACTTAACGCAAGAGTTACTAGATCGTCGTACCTCCACAGTGAAAATACCAACCTGGGGCCTGTACCAAAAACATGTTCAACCTTTTCTTTTTATTTCTTAGTAAAGTAAAAGAAACAAAAAAAGAGTGATGAATTGGGGAAGAGAAAAGCCTAGAAATAGTTTTCTTCGTAATTTAATATAATCTTTAGGAATTGTATGAAATATTTTTCTCAGACCACAATAAGACTGCCTCACTTTTTTCAATCTGTCGTCTATAAATTTTTCTCACCCTAATTTTGCACCAATTTGAACACCTAAACATTTAAAATTAGTGATCTACTCAATCAGAACCCCTTTATATTCGATTTCGGGTTTTGAGACCGCCACCACATTATGCAGTAACAAAGCTTTTGTTTTTACCACATTAACTGAAAGAAGGTAGCTGCCAGAAAAACTTTCCAGTGCTTTCAAAACTGTTTTAGCCTGAAATCGAAGGTATTTGATGTTGTTCGATAGAGGTTTTTCTAAAGCTCCTTTTATAATAAGTGTGAGGTCCTCCGCAAAAAGATGGTTTACTATCTGAGGCAAGTGGAGAGGTAGAAAGTGTACGTGCAATATAAATAAAAGAGCAGCAAGTAGGCTTCCTTGAGACGTTCCTACTAAAATAGAAAATAATCTTGATTTTGCCTCGACATGAGAAACTCATTCACCTATTCTGTAACCAGCTAAAAATCCATTTCCTCAACTCAATAGGCATTTCCTGTTTTTCTAAAGTATGAAACAATGCTGGCCACCATAAACGATTGAAAGCACTTGAGAAATCAATAAAAAGAGCTAAAACCTGTCTACTGCATGCTGCAATGGGTGAGGTGTGAGAATGTGGTTGGGTGTGAGTGTGGGCTTGTTCTGTTTATTCACGCCCACCCCCAAACCTCACACCACATCTTCTCTTGTAGAAATATTCTTCCATTGCAAATGTTATAGTCTACGAGTAATCGAAGCAAATTATCAATTGAGCTTTGGGAAATTTTCTTGCATTGGTTGTGATCATATTCCAATTTCGTAATGAAAACGTTCTTTTGCACATAGAAATGAGCGGAAGAACGAGGGATGTAACTTGATTTTCCCACAAAGTTCTTTTTTATCACGTGTCAAACAGTTTCGGGATATAGAAACACTATGATCATTGGACTACAG